CGTAACTAATGAGATTGGGTGAAATGTGGAGTTTTCAAATGCAAAAACTGGAAAGTAATTGGGAATGGAATAAGAACCTCCAAAACACGAGGCGACTTGAAGTGAAGACGACCATCCGTTATTACAAGAATTAAACTGTGTGCGATTAGAAAATAATCGCGAAAGATGATCAGATTACGACGGTCAACTCTGTTATCATACACGATACACAGGAGAGTATCACGATGAAGAGAACCAAATGCATTTGCATAATGAACAGAAACTAGCCTGACAATATGGCTACCATGATCAAGATTGGAAGCAATAGAATTACGAATGTAGCCAACGTAGCCAACACGAACAACCTCGTCATCAATTCGTACGTGTTCATGAACCCGTCATCTGTGAATTAGTGTTACTTAAAGATTTTGCGATGGAAATAATGACGATACTGCAGTTCTACTTTCCGGAGGAAGCATCCTAGTTTTGTCTACTTATCTGACGTTTTCTGAGTAGCATGTTGAAGCTTTCGCGATATGCTGATTCCCCCACACATTTTGAGAACATCCACCCCGTCTTAGACTGGTTCACTTGGAAACCCTTGTCGAACAGCAGCAAACTCTCCTGGTTATTTAGCCTTCGGTCATGGCTCTTTAGGCTTCACTCAAGGCATTTTCGTCCGGTTAACAATCTACTTCCAAAGTGGCACAAAAGAACAAAGTTCGAGAGATTTTCAACTTCGATGACAGTGCATTGTCAAAATGAATTATAACGAGTCCACTTTCACGACAGCACTTTCAAAGAAAGTACAAAAATGGTAGTCATAAGAAGCACAAACGAAATCGAACATAAAGTGTTGTAAGTAACCTAAGGAAATTGATATTGGTGGTTGTTAATTGTGATTTCTTGGAGCACACTTAATAAATCACCTCGATATTCCAGTAGGTATTTTTGGTTATGAAGTTAAATTTGTTGAAAGCTTTTTTCTATTCTGTTGAGAAGGCGGATGTGTAGTGGTAGTTGCACAATTAGGACGTCCAGGCTTAAGATTAGTCACACCAGCTTCTCTGTGGATAGATGTATTGTCAAAAGTGAAGACTGTTTCAATGTTCAGTTGATGTCCCCACGATTTAACCGAACAACGTTCAAGAAAATTCCTCAAACGAGACCCACTCAATAGGGGATGACATCCCTAATCCATGATTCCAATAACCGATTAGCAAACCAACGTGTTTAGGTTAGCTCTCCTGTACGAAGGGAGTGATCGAACGCCACTTTCGGTCGTTCGTATGAATGTGAGCACCTAATGGTGAGATTCGTCTCATCCATAATTTGGTGCGCTTTCCGTGGTGATCCGTTGCTCTAAATCAGCTTACTTGTTTTTCTAGTCCGGACGGTTGAGTTTGATTGGTTGTTTGGTCAATGTTTTCCTCCTATGGGCAAGTCCATCAAACAGTCGGCCGATTGGTGAAACACTGATTGAAACACCAGTCACTTCAATCTCCATTTTGGTTCCTAGCTGAACTAAAATCACTCATGACTTCATGCCCCCTTCGTGCATAAAGTCTGAAAATAATTTGCATGGAACTTTCGACTGGTATCTATACGATTCCACGCCTCTTCACGGTCCGTGTTCGCAATAGCCCGACATGATTTGCACTTTATTCTGAGAGCCTGGGCATGACACCTCAGATCGTCTCTGTTCGAAGCATACTGAATAGTGCGTTTTTTTTCTTCGTCAGACGTGGTACGGTTGGATCTTCTTAACTTGTTTAAATCAACCACTTCAATCGGGGTTTCACTACTCATCAAGTTCTTCATTAGGAACGGTATGTCAAAGGGTGAACTACTATAGTTTTGAGACACTTCCTCAGCGTGCGCGACCACCGTTCGTCAGATATGAAGTCGAGAATAAGACCGACGGGTGTTAACCGCTTGCATTTGGAAAAGGGCTACGTATAGAGACCGGACCATGGCGTGCGCCGAGACAATGTGTTGGAAGTTGCACTTACGTCTACCGCGTCCACCGAATGTACATTTTAATACGGGATAAACGAGGTTGGTTGGATCATTACACCACCGCGATGGTCCCCAGTTCCAAAACTGACCAGGTAAACCCCCAGGTAGTAAATCACCAACCAAGAACGGTTACGATTCACTGACTCATCCATCAATCCGATCACGTAACAAACCAAAAAACAAACTTCTCTCTTCGTTGATCTTATCGTCCATTTTGGTTGAGAAGCATGAGTGAAGGCTAAATAACCACGGGAATCACTGTAGTTTCCATGTCCGGTCACCCATTGTCGTTATTGAATTGACAGGAGACATAATCGTTAGAAAGTCTTGTGACACAGGAATTCATTATCGATATTGTATTGTGGACATCGATTTTTGTTTGTCAGAATTGTCTCACTTTCATAATCCTATTCAACTATTTTTCCGTCATGCGTCAGCCCATTAGCATAGACTGATTATCTATCTGACTCGTTTGCAAGTAACTAATTTCGTTCACTATAACAGTTTGCATCGGGCACGCACGCGCGCACACAGACACACACACACACACACACACACAATTTGCTGATGGCCAAGCCCGGTAAAACTAGCGACGCACCAACTCAGTCTTGTTGCTGTTGTCTTGGCCGAGCGGTTGGCCATGCACTGGATAGCAATTTCTCTACAGGACAACACTACCGCGTGCAGATCGATCACAACACAATTAACTCATGCACTGCATACAAGGCCTGATCAATATTCATCGAGATATTTGTGTCCCTTCGAATGGCACGTCGAAATTTACAACTGACATCAGACACGTGGAAGAACGCTGGAAATTGGTAGTACACGCACTCCCTCATTCTGGTCTCCACCACGTGTGCAGCTCCCGCATTTTCACCTGTTCAAAGATGGTGTAAGTTGGAACAGGTGACCAGGAACTGATCCATTGTCGTTCTTGATCGTCACCGACACTAAGGAAATATCATCTCTCAACTAGTGGTCGTTCTACTGTGAAACCATGACCGTTTTCTCCTTCCAAGTTCCGTTTTGTGAACTCTTATCATTTCCGTTCGAAATCCCACTCCCACCCCACCCCACCCCACTGTTCTTGCTTATAGAAGTATATACGTGAATGGCATGGTTACTAATCAGCTTCCCAGTTGGTTTCTCCTAACTGAATTGAGAACTTTCAGTAAATCTATGACGTTCGTGTGCGTGAGAACGCGAGAACCAGAAATAGGGGAAGGGTTTCAATTTGCTGTTCATTCCAATTCTTTCGGTCATCAATGTCGCATTTCTGTGCTCTGGTTTTTGTTGCCACCTCGTAGTGTCATTGAGTTGATGGTAGAATGAATGGAAGTATGAAGTGAACAACATCCGAAAGCGAAGTATTCAGCGGAAATTACGAAGACAGAGGAAGAGCCCGAATGAAGCCACGACACTAGTTACGGCATCTAGGTATGCCACTCATTGTCTCTGTTGTGGCCACAGAATCAGCAACAGAACGAGAGCACGTATGTGCAGACGGGCGTGTAATCACGTGTGACGTACAGTAAGGGCGAGCACGAGGACTTGACAAACGGACGAAGTTGCTCAGTCAATTTGAGTGGAGCAATCCGCATATGATTGGTGGAACGATTGGTGGAACAATGCAGATCGTGGTACAAACAGGCATTGCACGTACCAGTACAATGCGGAAGGGACAGGAATCATGTGTGAATGTGAGTGACAGATGGAGTGGCTACACACTAGTTTCTAACCGACTTGTAGACGAGTCCTGTGGACCCCAACGCGCAAATCTCATGAGTTCCACTTGACCAGATCTAGTGATCAAGCTTTCCACACCATTTACTTATTTGTTGGACTGACAACCTCTACCTGCCTTGGATCGAGGTGTAAACCGAGGAAGTCTATTGATGGGCACGCATAACACATGTCCCAACAGACTCAACCTGTTCAGATTCAGTACTGGTTTATGCGACTGTTTTTTGTATAACCTCAGCATTCCTGATACGGTGTTAACACCATATTCGAACAATACTACGAAGGCATCGATGCTCAAACACTGACCGTCTCCATCTATCCTCTACTCTTACCGACTGGTGAAGCTGATGAAGTAAATAACGCCTCATTCGAACAGGGTGAGTCAGCTTCGGAGAGAATCTTTTTCTCAGACGTGGAAGCAGTGCGTATTCGTGTGTATCTGGTGTGTTTACGTAGTGTGTACCCACGTGAGTAGTACTAGTAGTAGTAGCACTGGTCCTAACATAAACGGTGCGATGTGGCGCAGCCGAGCTGAAAATCAACTTTGTACGCACTGAGATAGAAAAGCAGCGTTGCACATGGTGGTATATGATCACTTTCACTAAAGAATGCAAATCAAGTGTCGCTATGAACCGCAACTTTAAGGATGACTACTTTCATTCTGTACAACTGATGTGTAAAATCTAATATCTGTCTAGTAGTGGAGGTTTCGTCACTGTCAATCACTGTGAATGTAAACGAATCACCAGTCTATGCCACCAGAATTCACACCCACTTCGGAATATTCTTGTTGATCAAACGAATTATCTGTTTTCCGAGTTAAAGCTGTTTGGTTAACCTCAACACATAGTTTTCTATCCAATAATCATCCACTCCTAATAGTTCAACCGCATCACTTTGAACGCCAATTATGTTGATCACCATTCACATTTGTGTGTCCTTGCTGGCCCCCAATTCCTCGTCAAATAGCCGCTTCATTTATCCAGTATGAATACTTAAAATTAGTCAACGTGTTTCTCATTCTCATATGGGATTCTCAATACTGAGAGCTCATCAACTCTCCCGAATCTGCTACTCTCGTTGTCTCTTCAAACACTGTTTCGTAGGTCCTCTCACGGCTTACTTGTAGACATGCACATTGATTGCCTCCGCGTTGGGACTGTCACTGTTTCTGTCTCTCGATTTCCCTTCTCATATCCTTCGTTGTCAGCGTGTGACACGATAACTTTTTATCCTGCTGCTTGCAAAACGGATTTTCAACTTGACTCCACCACACCCCACTTCATTGTTGAGATTAGGGCTATTATTACCACTACTACTACTACTACTACTACTACTACTACTACTACTACTACTACTACTACTACTACTACTACTACTACTACTACTACTACTACTACTACTACTACTACTACTACTACTACTACTACTACTACTACTACTACTACTACTACTACTACTACTACTACTACTACTACTACTACTACTACTACTACTACTACTACTACTACTACTACTACTACTACTACTACTACTACTACTACTACTACTACTACTACTACTACTACTACTACTACTACTACTACTACTACTACTACTACTACTACTACTACTACTACTACTACTACTACTACTACTACTACTACTACTACTACTACTACTACTACTACTACTACTACTACTACTACTACTACTACTACTACTACTACTACTACTACTACTACTACTACTACTACTACTACTACTACTACTACTACTACTACTACTACTACTACTACTACTACTACTACTACTACTACTACTACTACTACTACTACTACTACTACTACTACTACTACTACTACTACTACTACTACTACTACTACTACTACTACTACTACTACTACTACTACTACTACTACTACTACTACTACTACTACTACTACTACTACTACTACTACTACTACTACTACTACTACTACTACTACTACTACTACTACTACTACTACTACTACTACTACTACTACTACTACTACTACTACTACTACTACTACTACTACTACTACTACTACTACTACTACTACTACTACTACTACTACTACTACTACTACTACTACTACTACTACTACTACTACTACTACTACTACTACTACTACTACTACTACTACTACTACTACTACTACTACTACTACTACTACTACTACTACTACTACTACTACTACTACTACTACTACTACTACTACTACTACTACTACTACTACTACTACTACTACTACTACTACTACTACTACTACTACTACTACTACTACTACTACTACTACTACTACTACTACTACTACTACTACTACTACTACTACTACTACTACTACTACTACTACTACTACTACTACTACTACTACTACTACTACTACTACTACTACTACTACTACTACTACTACTACTACTACTACTACTACTACTACTACTACTACTACTACTACTACTACTACTACTACTACTACTACTACTACTACTACTACTACTACTACTACTACTACTACTACTACTACTACTACTACTACTACTACTACTACTACTACTACTACTACTACTACTACTACTACTACTACTACTACTACTACTACTACTACTACTACTACTACTACTACTACTACTACTACTACTACTACTACTACTACTACTACTACTACTACTACTACTACTACTACTACTACTACTACTACTACTACTACTACTACTACTACTACTACTACTACTACTACTACTACTACTACTACTACTACTACTACTACTACTACTACTACTACTACTACTACTACTACTACTACTACTACTACTACTACTACTACTACTACTACTACTACTACTACTACTACTACTACTACTACTACTACTACTACTACTACTACTACTACTACTACTACTACTACTACTACTACTACTACTACTACTACTACTACTACTACTACTACTACTACTACTACTACTACTACTACTACTACTACTACTACTACTACTACTACTACTACTACTACTACTACTACTACTACTACTACTACTACTACTACTACTACTACTACTACTACTACTACTACTACTACTACTACTACTACTACTACTACTACTACTACTACTACTACTACTACTACTACTACTACTACTACTACTACTACTACTACTACTACTACTACTACTACTACTACTACTACTACTACTACTACTACTACTACTACTACTACTACTACTACTACTACTACTACTACTACTACTACTACTACTACTACTACTACTACTACTACTACTACTACTACTACTACTACTACTACTACTACTACTACTACTACTACTACTACTACTACTACTACTACTACTACTACTACTACTACTACTATTATTATTATTATTATTCCCACTCGTACTACTACTATTACTACCAGTATCATTATTGATAACTATTACTACCACTATTGTTTTAATCCACAACTGTCCGAAGTTCTGTTTCCAGCAATCAGCTACTTATCAAGTAGTATATGCATTCCACCACACTCCTCCTCTGACGACGAAAAATGTATTCCTTGTCCCGTGGACCGCCTTCAGGTCTTCCCCCCCCCCCCCTTCCGAGTTCATTCCTTCAATCCCGGTTCGTGGTCATGTTGCCATCAATCCCAGAACTCCTCCGGAGGTGTGTTTCTTCGGTGAATAATCGGCATAGGATGAAACTTTGTGCTGAGGCGGCTTCGACGATCTGTACCCACCTTTAGCTTGCCCCAGACTGTTTGGCTGTCGCGGGAGATTACCACGAAATAGTGCAAATCTGATACGTTTCCTGGTGGGACTGCGCGTTGTGTCATTTCAACGTCATCCAGAACGGAGTGTTAAGCGGTCTTGATTTGAAGGGCATCATATTCGGCTTCCTCTTTCGACAGATTCTCAGAAGAACAAGCAACTTCTTTTACAGTCTTCCGGACAAACACATTCTGGCCGTGAATTTCGACTTCAATCTCATTTTCCTCATAGTTTGCGGCTTTATTTGCTGCGATATTAAACGACATGTCTTCGTTTTCCCCGTCACAATGTTCGTGTTCAAGGTAATCTAGATGGCAGTTTCCCGCATTTTCACAAAGGATTTGGTTCGGTTTTTCACAGTTCGCCAACTCATCGGTGATGACTGAGTTCTCCAGAAGTGATACTTCCGGTACATACAAAACAGATCCCAAATTTCCACAGCAGGAACACCAGGTTTCTTCACACTGCTCAGTTTTCATTGATCTACCTTCTGGGTTCAAAATGTCCGGCCCATAAAATGGATCTCCACAAGCTCGATATTCCTCCATGAATCTCTAACTTGGGCCGTGTTGATCACAGGCACGTCAAGCATGGCCGGTTCTCCAGCCCCGTCTGCGAGCTGGAACACATCCAAGGAAGAGCCGACACGGGTGACGCGTACCATCCCACGCAGGGGCTCCGGCAGACTATCCACAAATCGGTCCACCAGAAGGTTAGCCCGTGATGCACGATCCAGGAGTGAAAGGAGAGAGACGGCATGCTCCAAAGGGACCTCGCCAACTCCAAACTAAGCCACCTTGAAAGGCCGCGTTTCCTCCTGATGGTAGGCCTGGGTGTCGAATCCCGCTATCGGGGCGTCGTTGGCAGCGGTCGACTCCATCTTTTCGGGGCTTCTTCGCGCCGCATCCAGCACCACCCGCACTCTGCCCTCGAGAAGCGCTCGAAGGGCTGCCAACCTACCACGGTCCGACAGAATCCCGGAGATCTCCACCAGTTACTCGCATTCCTCCAAGAGGCTCCGTATGTCCCTGTCTTCGACAGGCTGCAGCAACGGGATCTTCATCCTGGTCACGGCACCCATTGTAATAATCCACAACTGTCCATAGTTCGGTTTTCAGCAGCCAACTACTTACTTAGTAGTATATGCACTCCACCACACCACTACTACTAATGCTAAAACTGCCACTACTACTATTACTGATCCTAATACTAATGCTATTACTACTACTACTACACCTTCTAATAATACTACTCATAATAATAATACCAATACCAATACTATTATTACTACTATCACTATTATTACTAATACCAATACCAGTGTTACCGCTACACTGCTACTACTCATTCCGGTGCACACTGTGTAAACACACGTGACTACGCAAGGCTCCCATTTCGACTTCATCATCCCCTCTCCCAACTGAATCGATTCACGTGTGATACCACTAGCCTCACCGACCTCCCTCCAATTAATTCTAGCTTGCAGTCACCATTCCACGGTCAGACCGTTACTGAGACCACTGCAATTCCGCTTTTGTTATCGAGAATTTACCGCCTTTGTCAGTACAAGATATTCACCTTTCTCGTCTGCACCATTGGCACACTGCCGGTTGCTCATGTCGCATGAATTTGCACATTGCACTGCACGGGCGTCTCTCGATTGCCAATATCCTGATTTCACTTTTCTCTACTGGAACATGCTGAAACACGGTATCCGTGATGGTGTACTCACCGGAATGTTCTTTCTCTCACGTCCTAACAACATTTAACAAACCTCAATTCTAATCACGATTTCGTGTGCGAATGCTCATGCGCGTGCTGCAAAGTGCAAACGTCAATCATTGATGCATGTTTTTTTGACGCACACCGATGTGTTTTGTCACAGAGCCAAGGATTGCATTGAAACTTCTCAATATGGTAGGGAAATGCTGATGCCATTAGTATATTTAAATTTGTCACTGTTGTGTTCGTGATCAGTAGCAGTGGAACACGTAATTTTTTTAATCCATCTGTTTGTAAGAATACAAATGCGACCGGACAGTGACAGGTGAGTAATCCGCAAGCTAGCAAGCCGCAAGTAGGTCATTCATTCATTCATCCAGTGAGAGAGTGAGTGAGTCAGTCAGTCAGTCAGTCAGTCATTTCTTGAGTGGGTGACTGATTGAATAATTGACTGAGTGAGTGAGTGTGTGGGTGAGTGAGTGAGCAAGTACAAGAACTGAGCAAACAAGTAAGGTCAACCGATACATATCAAGATCGATCAGTCAATGCGGCCCTCACTGACGCATGACTAAAATCCATTACGAAGCACACGTATGTCCATGCTTGTGAGGAATACTGATTGTCCGTGTACTATACGTGTCTTTGACCAGACACGAAATGATTTATCATGCAGGATGGTCACGGAACTCATTATTTAACTGCACGGAATCCATGTAATGCATACCTTGAGCAAGTAGCCGAGCTCCGTGGCTTAGTTTGTGCATTCGTTCCAATTAGGTTTCTTCAGAGAAGACGTCCACCGGTGGAGGCGATCGCCGTGCACGAGAAGGACGTTTGTCGTGCAAAGCCAATGACGATCTGGACGCGAAATAAACAGTTGAGGACCATCCCAGATAGATAGGTTTTGAGATGTGTCTGCACCCGTGCCTGTGCCTGTGCTTGTGTGTGTGTGGTTGCGTGAGTGCGTGCGTGCGTGTGACTCACTAATCTGCACACCAGTTTCAACACTCAGTTGGGATTCGATTGCCATGCCCTATCAATGATGTATACCAAACAGTCAGATGTGACAACTTTACAATGCTTTGGCTACTCCCAACGGTGAGATGAATATTTAGGCACTATGGTGAATAATTTGAAAGACTATATGATCCATGTGAGGAATATCCGAGTCCCTTCGATAGGTTCTCGTGGCTCAGCTCTTACAGCATTCGTGGAACCAGAACAAGGGTGGTAACCGTGTGTTGGTTCGAATCTCACCGGGATCAACAAATTGTAAGACTGGACCATTTGAGAAATTTGTCACAACTTCCGAATCATACAACATTTGTACCACGTACTTATTTCATCAGTGACCTTGTCGTTCGTACATCATATCTTCTGCACTAATTGGAAAAGGGATGTCTTCTTGTTTGTTGGATTCACGGATTGTGCATTGAATGAGTTATCTGAGTCGATCTTGAGTACGATGCATAATATATTCTTTAAAATCTTCTGTCCAAACGTATCTCAAACAGAACATTTCCCAACCCGATCTCGTGTAAAACTGAATCACTCCGTGAGCACCGAATGTATTTCCAGTGTTCTACCACTCCCATTCTCCAACAGAATCTGTTTCCATCATCTAAAAAATCCCCATCTAATATGAGCACTGATTTTTTATCTGGGAGTTAATTTGTGATGATTCGAAAGGCAATTCGTGGAACACGATACTATACAGCTGGTCGTCATTTGCGCGTTGGGGTCCACAGGACTCGTCTACAAGTTGGTTAGAAACTGGTGTGTAGCCACTCCATCTGTCACTCACATTCACACATGATTCCTGTCCCTTCCGCATTGTACTGGTACGTGCAATGCCTGTTTGTACCACGATCTGCATTGTTCCACCATGTTCCACCAATCATATGCGGATTGCTCCACTCATATTGACTGAGCAACTTCGTCCGTTTGTCATGTCCTCGTGCTCGCCCAATACTGTACGTCACACGTGATTACACGCCCTGTCTGCACATACGTGCTCTCGTTCTGTTGCTGATTTCTAATGGACACAACAGAGACAATGAGTGGCATACCTAGATGCCGTAACTAGTGTCGTGGCTTCATTTCGGGCTCTTCCT